AAGCTGTTAAGCCATTCCCTAAGGCAAAGCCCTGTGAACAACAAGAGGAAGGAGGAAAAGAAAATAAATCCCGAATCCTCACTGACATGCCTGTCAAACGGATCTTGATAGAAGAGAAACTAAAGGCAAAAAGAAAAGAAAAAACCAAACGGAAGAAGCCCGTTAAGTGTGATCCTGACAGTGATTCTGACATGAATAGTCGTCCATGTGAAGAATGGGTTAAAGGTTCTTCATGCAAATGTTGGGCTCATGAAGGGTGTTCATCAAAACAAGGAGTCTTCACTTGTCGAAACTGTCAATCAGATGACGATGTATGATAAATGTACATTTGTTTCGCGTTCAAACAAAGTTAATCAGTTCAATAGTTCTTTTTTAGTGCATTTTCAATATTAAACAGCTTGTTACATTTGATCCATCCACCCGTTACAATTGAACCATGATTGGGTGCGCTTGTAACACTTGCTGGCATCGCCGTCATCCGAAATAATTAATATGTAAAGCCAGTATGATGAGGTTTCATTCAGCATAAACTAACGTGACAAGAGTGTTTCTGGTATTGATTTGATTTAAATAAGGTTGTCTGTGTTACATTTGTCACCGGTCTCCCGCACTCGTGATGTCAGTTCATGGATTGGATGTGTTACATAGGGCATATTATATTGAGTGTGTGAGTATGGTTTTACGCCGTTTTTAGCATTCTTCCAGGAATATCACGTCAGGGGACACCAGACATGGGCTTCAAACATTGTACCCGGTTCTTCGGCGTCTATTCTGATTGAACAGAGCTATCTGAACGTCGTCTGTTTCAAATGTAGGAATCCCCTATGCTTTCATAGAATGGAAACAATTAACAGTACCTATGCTGATTGTGTAGTTCTACTCGGGCACCGTCTCTGTGTGCCTCAGTAGGGCTGCTTCTTGTTAATGGATCGATTTGTATCGAAGATTTGTTAAATCTTATATGATAATACTAGTGCTTATCTGCTAAATTTATGAAATGCTGCTCATGATTTACAGGTAAAAACTTATTTCCCGTCATTATTCATTCATCAATGCGGATGCGACGCTAAATCTTAAATAAGGAACGCACTCATATTCCCGAAGAAAATATGTCTGTGTTGGACATCAAACTTACAAAGTATCAATGTAGGTATATGAACAAAAGGTGAAACTCATCGATTTAATCAAATATGTATGTATGTGAGAGAATATGTCCGTATAATTTGTATAATGAATTGTCAAAAATGTTTTTTTCATCAAAATTTTGCAGGAATGACAGAACCAAGACAAGCAAGATTCGAGGAATAAACATTTAATGCTATGCAACGTATAATATGTTGCGTGCCTAACTATAACGGACATGAGAAAGGTTTACTCAAAAGATCATTAGTGTCGTACATACACATGCACAATGGCTTTACCATCTAGATATAGATGTCATGCCCTGCATCAGATAGGTGTCAACGTAAACAGACGTCTTCAACGAAATATTTGAATGAGGATGAGTTTTAAAGATTGTTGTAAGTGATAGTTTTTCCACACATTGTAATTACGTGACCCTGACACTCAAAAACATGTTGGCACCTCCGCGTAACACACATTTTAAATGGAGACATTAATTGCGCCATCATATGCTTTGATGTATAATACTCTTGAATGATGTTAACGCTCATCTGTGTGGGACGACAATCAAGTTTGAAGTTAATCAAAAGGCTATAAATTTGGAGTGTTTGTTCCTTGACATTCACAAACATAGGCAATCAGAGAGTTTTCGTTTTAGAACCGCGGATGCCACAGGGGTATGTATATATGTCCCTCCTCTTCAATCATCACTATAAATATGAAAAATAAATCAAAATACATTACGCACACAAATTCAATTCACAGTTTTGAATTCTGCAGAAACCACTGTTATGTGATAGTATCCGCTGTTGTTGTGGTAAAGAAAGATTTACTGAAATATCTCACTTCAACGTTTCAATAGCCAACTTTCGAATAGTCAGTGTCGAGCAATAGTACTGGAGCTCCAGCTTCACAAGTTTTGAGGTACAAACGTTCCCGTGTTTTTTTCAGGTGAACAATTGATTTGCCTATGCATGTGTTTGTGACGGGTGCAACCAGTGGGGCAGGATATGCTCACCTTTTCGCGAACACCTGCTATATATCATCACTATCTTATTGTGATTCATAAACACATGCTCATCATATAGTCGGAAACGAACAAGCGACTCTGCTTTTGGCAGAGGTTTTTCATGAATATGGTAAGGTTTGTCGCTTTCTACTTGCAAAACGAACATATGAGTTGAACATGCTTTTCATTACTTAAAAGCAGCATTATCTCTGCACTTGTACACAGCAAGTAATTCAAAATAGACATATGGTTCTTAGTTTCAACAACAATCAGTAAATGCGCTGTAGTGTGACTGGATTTCTGGTTCATCACTTGATTGTCTGGTTCATTTACATTTTGCCGTCGCATGGCAAGAGTACTGCTGTGCGGTGTCATGTAGCAATATAATACTTTTAATGCACTTTGTGTCAGCGGCGGGTGCTACCGGTAGGATAGGAATATGATTATCCTTTTCGAAGACAACTGGCCATGGTGTCATCACTGATTTTCAGTGATCCTTTTATATTATTTTCACTGCTATTTTGCGCCCAATGGAATCTGTTTCTTAGGATCATAGAGACTATTGTCTGGCGTTGACGTTTAAAATTTAATGTTTCTGGTGTTTCTGGACTGAAACGACACTTGTACGTGTTGGATTATCAAGTTTGACATTCATTGAGGTCCCTTTGTATTGAATCGTCTATCATTTGAACAGAAATTGTTCATGGCTTTAGCTCAAAGAGCATTCAGACATTCAGACGTCTGTAACTTCCGGCTTTGGAAAATACATGCTTACTTATTAGATGTTAAAACCAGAAAGTCTACCTTTTACACCTACCTTTTAAGAAAGTTATTTGTACTTCCACTTTGGATCACATCACTACTGTGTTCGGAAAACACATACTTACTGCCTTTGAATTTTTAATTTTAGAGCCCTACTATTGATACATCCGGTTTAGAAAACACGTTTTTCCTGCAGTGAACCAGAATGTCCCATGGCTCAGTATGAAGCGAAAAATTATTGGTACTTCAGGTTTTGATTTCGTCACTCAGGTTTGAAAAATATGGCTTCCTGCATTAAATTCCATCATAATGAACAAACGTATAACTGTTACTTATTTCACAACATAGGTCGTTGTCTTTGAAAAGGGGGAAACAATAATTAGATTTTTCAATATTCCTAATTAGCACTTATATATATATATGCAAACATTCTTGAATACCAAAAGGCACCAGTTCATGTCTAGACTGATATCTGTGCAATAGGTTTGGCCCCGGAGTATTGAACAGTTCTTAAGTTATCGCGTGGAAACAAACCCTACCCTATTTTAAACTTAGTTCAATTTGTTGCCACTCAAACCGGGAAAAAAGAAATTTAATTTTTTTTTTAACAGAAACATAATTTCAATGCTAGACCGATATCTGTGAAACATTTGGTCCAGAAATATTGAACGGTGTTTGAGTTAAACTCAGGAAGTAACAGGTGACGTGTTCCTATATCCCACTCCCAAATTGTTGCTGGGGATATTAAGTAACACCCACTACAGAAGATTAGGCAAGATTGCATTTGGCTCATGTGTCAAATGTAAAGATTAAACGTTAATCTGGGTTAATCTCATACTATACAAACGCTTCTATCAATATCATCTCGAAGCATCGTGCATGCCTAAAATTCAATTGTTGCCACCAAGCGACGTTACTTTTGACATGTACCCAAAAACAAACAAAAAGGGATGCAACATACGATGTTGAAGCATAATGCCACTTTCAGGTTTCCTATGCAGAACCTTTGAAGTAACGATTTATCAAGTACATTTGACGAGCAAAGCTCACAAGTATAATCCAATATGTCCGCAACCAAAGAAGACATCGAAACACGGCTTACATCGTTACGGATATGCGTCTGAGAAAGATGGGAAACATTTCAACTGGTAGGTTCAGAGAAGTAGGCTTTTGAAGTCCTGTACCCAAATGCACTCTGAAAGTCATGAATCCAATACGGCCACCGACCCGTAAGTATCCGGGGTAGAATAGGTCTTCAGCAAACCATGTTTGTCGTAAAAGGCGACTATGCTTGTCGTAAGAGGCGACTAATGGGATCGGGTGGTCAGGCTCGCTGACTTGGTTGATGCATGTCATCGTATACAAATTGCGTGGATCGATGCTCATGATATCAATCACTGGATTGTCTGGTCTAGATTCGATTATTTACAGCCCACCGTCAAAGAGCTGGAATATTGTTAAATGCGGCGTTAAACAACAAACAAACAAACAATACGGCTCCCACACCACTTGGCCAACGACCAAAGTATGAGCACAAACATCTGACGGACCGACTACCTGACGTACTGTTTTAGTTAATAGAATTTACCCATTAATAAAATACATTTCTTGATCATGTTTGATATACAGGTTTGAGAGCAATGCACAGAATTTATTACACCATATTCATTAAGAATGTAACAAGCCTGCGTTCGATCTACAAAATATATTAATTCAAATATAAATATAGATACAATGTATTTATATAATGTTTTTACACAAGAAGGGCCCTAAGAGGGGGAACATTAAGTCCTCATATCATGTGTTGCTTCTGAAGTCCAATCATCAAGTCAGCCTTTTACATTGTATGTAACTGATTGGCCTATTTTGTGGAATGTCATACCACTATTCACCACCAATGCAAGCTGCAGTTATCACACAAAGTTTCAAAACCCCTCAATGATCCGGCTATCTAAAAATAACAAAACCTGAGTCATATGCTTCAGTCTGTAATCAGTGCGTGTACGAATGAATTGGGTTTCCGTTTATCGTAATTTAGAACAGTGTTTCTCTTATCGCAGCATTTAAGATTGTATGCATGCTTCTCTGTTTATTGGCCTTTGCTTACCTGTTACAGTCGCAGTGTGGCGTGTGGGCGCCTGGAATAGAGAATGTAAAGTCAGTGAAACATTGTAATTCGAAGTCCTTTATGTCGCAATGCACCATGGTAGCTACGATCTAATATCGGCACTACGAACTTCGGATAACTTGACATATTAAGTTGAGACAGATTGTCGGATATCAAAGGAGTCAATTAATCAATCATAATACTTACATTGACACGAGTTTCCCAGATTGTTCCTTTCAGCTAGAATGCAAACAGAATTCTTTACTGCAAAGACTCCAAATAAGGATTCCCTGAGTATCGTCAAAGGAATAGCTTAAATGTTTACGGCTTAAATAATTTCATTATTAAAATATTATCTTTGCTAAGCATGAACTATGTATGTGTACCTGAACGTTGAACAATGAACCATAAGTGTTCATTACTATTTTCGTATTGTGCACTTAAGGCAGTTTGAATTACTCCTTATTAGCTTACAATGACAGTACATGTACTTGCATATTGTCCTGATACTAGTCTTGGTAACTCACCGTTAATGTGTCCAGGCTCTATTGAATTTCTGCGTGAAAGAATCATTTGTCATTTATTCAACAAACTTATATGATACCATACTATTAACATATAGAATATCATAATACTTTATTTGACGTAATTATCCCCGCCACGAAGATAGACGGGAATATAGGAACGTCCGGAGTTCATCCGTCCATTCGGCCGGTTCTCAAAGAGGACAAATCTTCTGAAAAACTATTTAAGTCAGGGACACACTAATGACTTCGAAAATTGGTGTCGTTAATTGATTTTTAACAGAGTTGTGGCTCTTGATCCCTGCATGCTTATCTGGGAGATATTTGTCAAGCCCGAGTTCGAAAATTGGTCCCGTCAATTGTTTTACAGAGTTATCGACCTTTTTCCGTGCTTTTCAACGTGGTGCATACTGTGTGAAATGGGGACAAGTTGTCTCATTAACTACTGAAGTAGCATTAATAAAAGTTTGCATGCTTATCAAAGAGATACTTATCAAAACTGAGTTCGAAAATTGGTCCCGTCAATAAATGTTTTGTTCTGTGCTGTTCAAAGTAGTGCATACTGAGTGAAATGGGGACACGTTTTCTCATTAACAACTAAAGTTGCATGAATATAGGTTTGCATGCTTATCTAAGAGATACTCGTCAAGACTTGGTTCGAAAATTGGTCCCGTAGTTTTCTTTTTCAGATTTATTGCCTTTGATCCATGTTATTGTACTTTGGGTATTGTGTGTGCAATGGGACAAGTTTCTACCGAAGTTACCTTACCTAGGTGATAGGTATCAAGACTGAATTATTTTTTCCAGAGAAAGGCCTTTTGTGTGTATTAATTTCACACTTAATCATTTTTTTATATGTCTCTTTTCTATAGTTTATATTCACTATTATATGAACAAACAATAATCTACAGTGCCCCATGGCGGGGGATAGTGATAACGCTGTTTTCTTGTTATAATTACTAAACGACGTTGCAACTATATTGTGTGACGTTAATCAGAGAGGCTGTCATTGCTTTGTGATGATTGTGTGATACCTGGCAAATGTTATCAAGATAAGACGCTGTGCATCTTTAGTCGTGCCCGGATCCGCCAAATTCCCAAATGCGTATCAATTAGAACATCGGTTCGTGACCGTGAGTGTCACCACAGTAGAAAGCGTCTACGACCTGTGTCATTTTGGGTAGTCCTCCCTTTTAACTCTGAACATGATACGCCTCAACTGATCTGGCTAAAATACTGTTCAAATCGACGATAAACCCGGCTCATTTACCACATGTTGCTGTATGTAGGCTATAATAGAAACGATTAAATTATACTTACGGACATTCATGTCGTCGTATCAAGTCGCACATACCTATAACAAATAATATAGTGTTATGTGACAGCATATATTGTACATCCAAGTTCTTTCACATCGCTTGACAACTTTGTTATCCTCCCAGAACAGAGAACACCGCTATGGGGAGCTTGTTCACAGACGTGGATTAACTTCCGGGACTTACTGTATTATTCGAGATGTTTCGTGAGGTAAATACAAGTATACCAAGTTTTTATTTGGTAATTGAAATTTGAAAGAACTAAATTTGAGTATATCTATTTAATCATCAGTCAGTATTGCAACAGTTTGTTAAAATTAATATGTGGCTGGGTATGTTTGTGAAAATATAAATTGGATCAATGAAGACTGTCCCCTACCATGTTTGAAATGTAAATTTGCGCCGAAAAAGGCAAAATTATTTATTTTCCAAGATAAGATATATACACTACCCATTAGCAGATGTGTATTATGTGAAAAATGATGTTTTTTAATCATCAAAGTTTATAAAAGTTATATTTAGACATATATAACCATGTAGAAGTATTCTATGAGTGCTGGCTGAGCGCCAGTTATATGATTATATAATATCACTCACTTAAGACATTTTCAAGTGAAAATCAAACATGTGACAAAATCAACTGAAAGGTAATAGTTTCTTCTGCTCCTCGGTCTTCAGCAACCCATGCTTTCCGTAAAAGGCGACTTTGCTTGTCGTAAGAGACTACTAACGTGATCGGGTGGTCAGGCTCGCTGACTTGATTGATGCATGTCATCATATAGCCTAGTTGCGCGGATCGATGCTCATGATATCAATCACTGGACTGTCTGGTCCAGACTCGATCATTTACAGACCACCGTCATATAGCTGGAATATTGCTGAGTGCGGCGTTAAACAACACACAACAAACAAACTATATAAGAGCGGGACGAGGATGATAAGAGGCCGTCTACGATCTTACTTGCGACCTGTCTACTTGCCCAGTGCGGATGGGATACCTACCTTAAGCGCCGACTTTTCTGCCTGCTTCCACCATTGTTTCCTGGATTCAAGAGCGCAGCACGTGCCTCACTCACGACATTAAACTGTGACGAATTCTAGACATTCGTGAGTTCACTGACTTATGAAATGAGGCCTATTATGTATTGCTGTGGCAATATATTTGGCCGATTGCACATATATATAATCCTGTACGTCTAATATCATTTGTTGATTATTCATTGATCTTGCGTTGTTATTTACTGATTTCACCATTCAGTTCTGTACGTACCTATTTCTGGATTAATCTGGCGTTGCAACTTGGTAATCACCTCATAACTATAATTATGCTTAAACATAATGTATGTAATTCTTTATACATTGCACGTTAAACAATTCAATTATGATTATTATTCATGTTTGTGTTTCTTTGTTTGCACACAACACTTTAACGGTTATATGACGGCGACCTGTAAACAATGGAGTGAGGCCCGGACAGTCCAGTGATCGATAGTATGATCGATAGTATGATCCACGCTGTCGGCACACGAAGACACACAATCAGCCAAGTCATTCAGCCTGACCACCCGATCCGTTTAGTCGCCCCGTACCATCGGCATGGGTTACTCGGGTCCTATTCTTACCCGGAGTTGGTTATCATACAATGAAATACATTATACCAGTGGCACATGAATGGTTAATGCACGACAAACGTATAGCAAGGAACATATGATGAATTACTTACACGTAACACCATTCAGTTGCCTGTTGTCCTTGTCAAAAAACTCTAATGTTCCTGCAAAACAAAATATGCAAACAGCTCAATAACTGGTCATAAATACTTTACCATGTGTATTATGCGCAAGGTAAAAGGTCGCCAAACTGAAGATACGATATTTAGCAACCCTCAAAATCACCGACATCCTTTCACAGTCAAAATGTCTGTTAGATTTAACTTTCAGAAAATGTTGAACATGTGCATTGAAACTCACATAATCTGGAGGACGCCGTTCCAATTAGAGTCTTAAAAACTTATTACAGAATTGTAGTCATACAGTTATGTGCTTTGTAAACAAGACGACGTTCCCAACAGTTATCGCTCAGCGGACTTTCCGCATTAGTGAGGTCCTGACCAACAATATTTCACTGTTTATACACTGTTAGAATGATTATATATTTCACTAATATATCTTGTTTGATGCAACCCACCTTGAAAAGTGTAGCATGGAAATTTATAGCACTGTATTCAGATACCGATAAAAGACGTCCAGTGTTAATTTAACGCAAGTTAAGTTATAAATAATATCTGGAGTGACTTGGCTACAATCCGTAGGTCAGTGTCGGTCAATCGTCGATGTGTAATGTGATGACCCACCTCCATTTGTTCTAATCACAACGAGGATGTCCTCTTCATCACTAAAATATAAATACATTAATTAAAATAATAATAAAGTTATTACGTTGCTTTTGATTAACCAAGCAAACGTTTTCGCTTTTATGGGGCCCGTAAACAGAAAAACGTTAGTCCAACGCCCACTAATGGACTACAGTGTCCTGATTAGCTGTTAATAGAATGGACGGGGCTTTTGTAGCATTATTGCATAAGAAATTACTAGAACCGTTTTTAAGGCAGTGAACAGATTAGTATTGAGTGATTCAGTGGACATTTTAGGCCATTGTCAGAAAAAAGTGCAGGTCGCGGTCCCCGTAAGATATCGAGCTCTGAAACACACTGTATCTGCACGTCTGTCCAGCAATACATGATGCACATACCCGCTATTGCTATCACCAACTCTGTTACTACGACAAGCGCACAAAGAGTTTTCCCCTGAAACAGAAAGCATGGCGGCACAATAGTAACTGGGATGTTCAGTAATTATATCTTCATATCCTGAGGACAGATACAGGCCATCTGATATAACCTTCATAATGACCAACTAATGGCTCGGTCGCATAAACGTGACGAGATGTACATGTATGTGCAGTGTGAACGTTAAATAATAACCTCATTTAGGTAACTTTCGGAAACCGTTCTATATCGACCATTATCAATTTACTTTGCCTTTGATTTATATAGGGTAATAGGAGTTCTGTCAGGACCCGACATCACAGTAAATCGCGCCTGGCGCAATAAACAAAGTTAAAGCCACTTTTACCGACGAAAGAGATTTTCTTCCCTTTGTTTCGTACATAAGCAGGCAATACAATTATGCTCATCATCAGAAAAGCATTTATATACTGATTCACGTTACAGGTGCTCTTATTTGTGCGTACCTTCGTTGTTGCACGTCAAACTCCCCAAATTGCACCCTGGAAAAGATAGAATGCATGATAGATATTCCGTGCATTGTTTGCTGTAACAATGCACAAAAAGAAATGTTGCAAATCACAATGATTTGTAGAAGATGTATTTCTTTATCATGTATTAAGTAGTTTCTCGGGAGAATAATACCAACGGACAAAAACGGTATGCGTTGGGGTCATTTACGGATATATGCAAATAAATAATGCCAGGGAGGTACCATTTTCAGTGTTTACAAACAAACCTGCCATCGTTCTTGTTTATCGGATGCGGGTAATAATTTATGTATGGAACCCTAGAAGGCACATTGACGTATTGTCGCCCTTACAAAAACAAAAGCAAAGTGTGTCAAAAAATAAATGCCACAGTGTGACATTTGACCGTCAGTTGAGTTGCCGCATGGTCGCATTGTCGAGCTTTATGGATGCATCTCCAATGTTGACAAATCTGTCGAGTGGTTGTACAAGTAACCTTAAGTTTGCCTCGCTGCGATGTTAATACTCTACTAACCTTAAACCCGCCATGGTTATGACACAAGCTAATGAAACCAAGCCCTGGTTTGTTCACACTGTGCCGGCAGATTATTTCACATTAATTGGCGAATGTACAAGTGAATGTTCAGTTTATTACAAATTCCCAAGGTGGTCAGAACCTTTGTTACCAGGGTGAAACATTTACGGTTAAGAGTAGAAGAGTTGCCAAGGTACACTGGAGATGTTGCAAGGCCGGATGACCTGCAACCATCAACAACTCTGAAGGAATGATAACATCATACAGAGATATTCACAACCACATGCCTGCTAACACCAAGATCGTTGTTGACGAATTCCTGACAAACATGAAGAATCTTGTCAATTATAGTATAATTTCGTTCAGTGCTCTTTCTCCAATGAACCAGAACCAGCCGTCACGATAATCCCCATTTTAATCATTCTATTGTTGAAGGGATTAGCACGGTAGATCAGCTAAATTACCCTAAACAATAGCTTTCGGCACAGTGTGAACACCCCCAACCCCTATATACCCAGGATAACTTAATTGAATAATTAGATTACAGACCTGACTCTAGTAAAATAAAATAAATACGTTAACAAATAATTTACCAAAGAATATCTTACTGTTTCATATATGGACAGATTAACCATACATTTAATACAGATTAGTAGCCTTTTAAAAAGTCTTAGTATCATAACATTTCACAATAACCTTTTTGCTAAAACTCAAGCTTTGCAATCAGTATGTATACCTTGGTCTCTGTGGTAATCGTATATACTCCAGTTAGGACTGGTCCATTACTCAGAAGGTGTTGTCTTAATTAAATCCCTCCTGGCCTCCTCCCAGGTTGTGTAACAACTGGGAATATAGAGGTGTGTGACAAATGGGTCGTGTAACTAATGGGAGACTAACCAGAGTGATGCTGCCACCAAATGTGGCCCAGTCCAGGCCTCCCATTTTCTTATACTATTTTCTAACAGACATATTTTGAAACTTAAAGGGCAAATAATGTCAACACAACAACTTTTTTTAATACTTTATGACATATTTAATTACCAATGTTTGACTAAACTTAAACTTGAAAAAACGGAAATAGCGTAAAACAGATGATAAAAATCGGCAAGCAAAATTGTCCCCCAAAACGTGCTCCCGGTGTTGTTACGCTGCGCTATTTCAATTTTCGGGCCGGCGCCCAGCCTGATCGGTCTTTTCTTGGAGGTTGTTTAACTGTTGTTGTTGTTGCTTTAAGTGTTTAAGAGGTCGCCTTCTGCCTTAGCAATTTCGACTGACCTGTCCCCCTTTCGGACTCACGTGTGAGAGTAGGGTACACATATCTATTGCGAGTTTGGTATTCACATAATTTCTGGGTTTCTTAATTATATGATTTCTATTTTCGTATATTGATATAATTTCATTTCTATATTTGGCTGCTATGTTTATATACGTTCGAGAAGCTGTCCATCTCTCAGAAATAGAGTTAGTTTGGCCTTCGCTTTTGCACCTATTGGCTTTAGGCGATAGCGGATCAAACTGCAATTCTTGTTTAAACCGAGCTTGGATAGGGAGTGGTCTTGACATTCTAATAACAAGTGAGCAATGGATTCAGCCTGATTGCAAGATAAACAAACCTTGTCCTAGCGCTTTGTGTGACCGAGTATGAGGCGTGAAATGGCAGATTCAACTTTCCTTTCATTTGAGTATGAGTTTGGCTTTTGTTGGATCTTGGGTTGAATTTTGTACAGCCATCTTTGAGCTATAGAGGCTTTGATTTTGCTTTTTATCTCTAGTTTACTAAAGGGAATAGGCTGTATCTCCGCTTTGTCTATTCACCGGACATCCATACAGAAAACCTTCACACCTTATATCCAGTAGGTCACCGGACATCATACAGAAAACACTCACACCTTATGTCCAGTAGGTCAACAGACATCCATACAGAATACACTCACACCTTATATCCAGTAGGTCACCAGACATCCAAACAGAATCCCCCCCCCCCCCCCCCCCCCCTTATATCCAGTAGGTCAACAGGAATATTTATGTGAGAGGGGATCCAACACAGATACACCTGTTACCCTTGGTCCGATAGGTTTGTATATTCGTATAGAATATTATTGACTGTGTTGGGCCTTGAGTTTGAGTTGCTGCCGCTGATGGCTTGAAGTGCACTTAGCGAGTTTCATAGGACGACTGCCTTTGCTTCTGGAAGTTCCAGTATGAGTTTGGGTGCATGATGAATTGCCTCAAATTCAGCAGTGAATACTGACTGATCATCTTGGGGTTTAGAGCTGTGGATATGGATCAAGTAACCAGCAGCGTTGGTGATAGGATTCGTGGATCCATCAGTGTATATCCACAGGGATTAATATATATTTCTAACCTGTATATATTCTTGTTGATATATTGATTTGTGTCTAGAGTGAAGCCAACGTCAGGTCTGATAATTGCAAAGGAGGAGAATACATAAGCCTGAAAGGAGAAATAATACCTAAATCAATATTGGCATCTGTAATGTGGGGTTTAATCCGAATGCCTAGTGGTGGGCCAAGCTTAGGCTTACTGTGAAACAGTTGTTCATAAGGGGGTTTAAAGACACAGTTGTATGTAGGGTTTAATTGGTTAGAATGCAATTTAGTAATGTATTGATACGGCGTTGCTTCAAAGAAAGTTCACCACCTTAAACATACAGGCGATAAACAGGAGATGTTTGAAATGCGCCAAGACATCGACTATATTATTTTATTATTTTACACATTAATGTACCACACTTATCCAGGTACCAGTATCTGCACAAATGTGATTTATTTGTTCCCCGACCATGGGATTTGTTTGCATTCCAGTTACCATGCCTAACTCCCTGGGTAAGTAAACAATCCAAGTTGGCTACGGGTGCTGGAGGGTTTTTACATCTATCTCACATATGGGGTACCCATTCCATGCTGGGTGAACAGAGGCACATGCCCGGTGTGACACCACAGGTTTTGACACTTTTGTTTCCACCATCTTGTCAACTACCATCAGATGAGTGGGTTCTTTGTGAGTGCACAGGTGAATGGACTGTACACATAATCTTAGTCCCTAATGGTGATCTTAATCTATTTTTGGTTAAATGCTCTTACAGGCTCCACCATATAATTGAGACACATCCTAATTTAGAGTGGAGGAGGGTTGTCTGTCACCTTCCAACTTTGTATTCGCAACGTCAATCAAGATATCTAGAGCCTTCAGGCATTTAGTTTTAAGATAGATAATGTGTGTACGCAAAGTCAATGATGATCGAAGATGAGTCGAAGGAATTTGGCACCCTCAACAACCCTGATAGGAGTGCCTTCCAAGAAGAGTTCAGAATATTTATGGTGCTTGTATGTCCTGCAAAAATGAATATACTTGGTCTTGGCTTTTGCAAACTTAAATACATTTCAAGAGACCATCAATTGAATCATTTTAAACCTTGTAAAGTCTATCGAGTTGTTTACTATGACAGACAAAATGCCTTGCGGGACACCTTGATCATGATCATTATGATCATACTTTCTGATTATAATGGTCAGACATTATAATGCTCTAAATCGAAAAAGATTGACACAGCATGTTGTTTATTTACAATTGCATTTTTTACAAAGATTCTAAATGTACCAGACGGTCACTGGTACTTCAATGCTTACAGAAACCACATTGAATGTGACTGATGAGATTGAATATTGCATTACGCCACAAAGGAGCAAAATTCCCTGATTTTCAGATCTATTCAAATATGTCTCCAAGCGTCTCCAAACATGAATCGGAGGTGTGGCAGGTTTAAATCATGATCACGCAGGGCTCAGGGTGCTGGTCATTTAGAGATTGAAGATCCGATCACTGAATTACAGAATGAGAAATATATAGAGAGCACAGTGTAACTGTAATGTGCCAAATCAGTCGTACTGGGACAGCTGGCAGATTGGTATGAAGTGAAACGGGGCCGTGGATCACTACCTGCCTCAACAAAACAGTAGCTTTAAAACCCATGGAGAAGATGAATAGAAGGAACTGTACTGTCACAAATCAAGGTTGTCCGTCTGTTTGACATACATGTCTGCTGGAGACAGATTGTTGACGGCGTATAATTTGTATTAATAAAAGTTGCTCATTAAAATTGGTCCTGAGACCTCTACCATTCCACCGAACCAGTGGATTTGAAATGTTCAATTACATGTCACTGGTGGATGAACAGGAGATTTATTTCTCCCATTTCGCGGTGACTTATTCCTGTTGCGCCCATGAGGATGAGGTGAGCAATTCAAGTCCTAAAAAGTTTAAATATATTTATTTTAAATATCTGTACAGGGTCATAGTGACCCTTTGGTACATGATATGAAGTTTTTGAGTAATCAACTATTTTTTGGCATTTTTTACAACAGGGGATGTTTTTTTTTTGGGGGGTGGGGGGTGGGGGGGTGGTTGTGCCATTGTGTAGATGTAAATAGTTCACTATCCCAGCTTCCCACCCGCCATTGTGTATCACAGGGACAATGTTGTAAGCCAGTGAATCTCCAGCTGGCAGCACCAAGGATACTGGAATGGTTTACTCATGCAGATTAACTAAAAATATATCAATCCACTAGATTGGCTCATGAGCATACGACTCTACGCAATTGACATATTTTACAATTAAAATTTAAGACTTGTTACATAAATGTTTTGACCTAAAATAGAAAAGTAAAATCAAAAGTCAGAACTGTACAAATACAATATCAAGTGCCCAGGGCCTGGTATGACCAGTCCATTAACAGGACCGGGCTCATCCTACCACTCGTCTAGGTCAAGTAAGGATCGAAGTGGTGTATTTGGCAAAGGAAGAGTTTCCTCATCCACCAGACCCCCGTCCTTCACCGACACAGGGGCGCAACCCACGGCCAACATGTTGCCCCCTTCGCTCGCCTTTTACGACAAGCAATGGGGTGCTGGAAACCATTCTACCCCGGGTCCCTTCAGGGCAAGTTGAAGATGATTACACACCCTGAACCTGAGGAAAATACATACTTGCTTCACTTAGGGCTTTGCATTACCGAAAGGGCTCGGCGAATAGGAAAGTAATATGTTACAGGGACGGAGAGACAGATTAGTCCAGGGTTCATCTGGACAGCTCTGATGGTCAGCTCTGATGCAAGGTTTTACAGGCGCTTTTGAGAACGTTTTGGCGACGCTTGCGTTACTCAACGTCAGTTTGTGGGTGGAAATGTAATGTATGGGGTGGCATCACAACTCCCGTGAGAACGCATCTCTTTAATTGTGTATGCTACCGGGACGAGGCCATGTTCTACCCTATGCAAAGAAACGTCAATGATTGTGTTATGGTAGAACGTTGATCAGAAGAATGTCCAAGTATTATGTTGTTATTTTCAATAACATAACATTGACATCACGTTTCATCAAGCACAGTTACTTTTTCCGTTTCAGCTTACATTTAGATGATTTATTTTATACTTACAAACAAACCCATTAAGTCTACAGTATTGTATCGTGCAATGTGTGTTACAAACTTTTTACATGCACTGTAGTATATTACTTTCGTATTCCGTATTCTGTCATTTGCTGTATATAGGCCTGTGGCTCAGATGCATGCACTGACAAACGATTTCTATAATACTTGTGGATGACATACTGTGCAAACTGGCCTACTGTGCTCGAACGGGACCGCTGATATATATACACACATTGAGAATTCAAAGTATTCGAAATCAATACGGACAGGTATACATACATATATTAAACTTTTAAACCCTCAGGTCAATTCAGTCTATTTCCGGGGTGAAAGCCATTTCAAATGAAAATGAAAGACAGCTGACCTTATTATTACGAATGCTTATGCAAATACTAAGACACTGACATACTTAAAACACAATAGCCAAATGTGGTCCAATTCAGTTTGTTTCCTCAGGATGAAGAGCCAGTTCAAATTCAGCCAACTAAACTTCACCAAATGTCGCCTTGTCCCGCTTATATTTATTTCTGCATATTTTCAATATTTAGCATTTCATCAAAATGTTGCGCTGTCGCTTTGTCGCGCTTTTATTAGTTACTGTTATTTTTTTCAAAACATGATCTTTGATTATAAATGAATGCGCCCTGGGGCGTATTTGTTTTTTTACAAGTGTTGCCCGCATGGTGGATCTAAATCACCAAGGAATTATTTTGGAGGTAGGTTGTCACTGCCAACGAACTATGGGGTCTTAAACCTATCCTTAAACCGATGTCTTGAGGCGAGCGAGTGGTTGCGGATTTGGGGGATAACAACTGTTTCCAAGACATCTCGGATGTACTGGTTACCTGTCAGGTTGTCTTGTTTGGTGACCAGGGCCATCTTGCAATTGTGTGAGATACATCCCCACACCATTACCGAGACACCCTCATAAGGGTCTGATGTTCCTAGGTGTATATACCATATCTCTGTGCCTCCAAGCCGCCCTCAGTCCTCCATCTGTGACATCATGCAGGAATCTGCTTTCTTCTTACAAAATGGATTTTCCGCCAGGTTCTCAGATTCCATGCTCCTTGTGCTAAACATCATGTGAAACGGAACCTCTGGTGATAATCTGCTGACAGGGACGTTTGGTGACGATGTCGATAGAGTAGCCATTCAGGATTCGTTGCAAATACGTGACTCGTTGTAAATGGATGTCGTACTAATCGAAACACCAGTCGGCTGGCTGATTACAGTGTAATGATAGCCCAGTTGAGGCCCATAGTTTTGAAGGATAACCCCGACTATTTGCCATCTTTGCGCCTCTGATTAGCTTTCGTTGCATGTTCACGAGGAGTGATTACTGGTAAACATTGAAAAATAGCGGATTTATATGCCTAAATTCCATGCCTGAAAATACCGCATTTTGGAGAATGCAAATTTGGCATGTGAACATCCTTATACTGTAAGACTTTTCTTGTCATTATAATTATCATCATTAATATTACTGTTGAAAATTATGGTGAGCTATCCTGGTTATAATGCCATATGTTCCACTGGACGAAATGTGTCATTATAACCATGGAGAACTGTATTTGATTCTCTCTGGCACAGCAGAAGTAGTCTTACACTACGGTAACTTGAAGAAACCTCACTTACGTGAGTTCTGCAATACATTCGTCAGTACAAACGCCAGTGTCAAGTAACGCCGTAACGGTGACCTAAAGAGGTAGATCAAGGAAGAACGGAAAGCCAAATTTCGCCTTTTCAAAAAGTGATTACTGTGGCCATTGTGGCCTAGGTTTTTAGCGTCTGGACTTAAACGTGTTGTCCAAAGTCAAAGGAATGACTAGAAAACCACATCTCTATATGTTTTTGTCCAGCAGGCATTTGCAATATATGCAGTTATCGTTTAGTATCATCTCTTTTCAATCGATGAATCTGGCATTACTATTTTCATATCACAGTGCTTCTCGAATTCCCGTTTACCTGTCTTTTTTTACATATACCGTGACATTGACGTGAATCGATTAAGTCGATAGAATAGAATAATGCATTTAAAAATCACATATGTATATTGTAACTATATATGAATATACCTATTACCATATGTATTACCAGGGGAATAACGTTTCAATCGGACGAGATCTAGTTGACAAGGGGTGCCTTCAAGTTGTGATAAGTGATAGCCAACCCATCGTATCCGGTCGACCAATACCGAGTCCCAGGGAGGGCAACAACAAGTACCATCTTTTACCTCGGACTGAAATCGAACCACCGATCTTCCGCTCTCCTGACGGACGCTCTTATCCACCAGACTATGGAGGCAGTCTGTTTGCATGAGAATCGCGACGAAGGGGACGTGTTAGTTAGCTAGTTGGTCTAGGTTGTGTCATCTCATCTTCCCGAGGCAAAGGAGTTAACTGATTGTAAAAGTCCAGTTTACACCCTTGCCGAACTAGGCGGGAATTATGGAGTTACATTTTGGCTGGACTAACGATTTTATGTATAATCCAATCAAAATCGCGGATAAACAATATGGCGACTGCCGTGCAGATTTTGATCGATTGCATGATTTAAAGAGCATGTGTACTGTCAACTGGGGGACCGACAGATGTTTTCATGTGTTTAATCAAGGTGCTCAAGTGATTTAATGTCTTTCGCTAGGTAAGACCCATTTTATTGCAATAAAGATCTTGATTATCGATCGGATCGTCTGGACTAGGCGCCGCCATTTTGTTTGAAGAAAATGCACGTGAAAGGAGAGGTGGAATCTGATTGGTCAATAGGAGGGACATAGAAGAAGAACATAACTCGTAACTGCCACTGGTGCCTCTACGATCGAGACACGAATTTCCAGCCGAGTTCGGCGAGGTTGGAAACTGGACTTTTATAGTCAGTTAACTGCCTTGCCTGGGAAGATGGTGTCATCTGTGCTACAACCCAAACGTAATACGTAAATACCTTCACAGGAACCGCACGAACTGCATGCACTGCATTTTTCACGGAGCAAGATGCCTGAAACATGAGACTGCATTTAAATTCAACAGTAGGAAATATTTAACCACTGTTCATTTAACGTAAATACCTATCGGGGTTTCAACGCCACTGTTTTAGTTGTATGACAGTAATTATGCTCTGTGTAAGATTAAATATTAAAGTCTTACTTGTTTACTTGTAACCAACCCATTAACAAGACTTATTAACCGTAGTGAATGTGATTTTCACCCCTAATAAGTGATAGTATTGACTGAATGAGGATCACGACTCTCGAAACTCCACAGAACCAAACAGAAATCTCAGCGAATTTTCCGAAGGGACGTTAATGAATAGCTGTAGCATGATCGGGATGTCCCGCGAGAATACGATTGTCGGACGCGAAAGAAGTACTAACTTGCCAGGCCGGTGGTAGTGAGGAGGAGGGCGCCGCCAACCGCGGCGACAGGGATCACTGTGTTCTTGCACTGGTCATTCGGTTCTGCTGTTGAGGAGCAGGAAACTGAGGTTTTTTTGTGTATTTGCAGTACTAAACTTATGTTTACTTCACTTAGGAGAAGAATCAACTGTGTTTTTATGTAAATAATAATTATTAGTATGAAAAAGAACACACCAACATCTCACGTTTAAAGATGTTCACACATTCGTTAGATTCTTCATTTAATGTTCCAACATATAAATTCACCTTTACCCCTTTCCCCTACCTACAGGCGTCTGTAAATGTTGTAATACAACGATGCCTCATATCCAAGATATTCACGAACTAACTTTCTCAATTTTCGTTATGGTGATGACATAATAATTACAGTGTGTAAGATATATTCTTCTGCCATATTAATAACACTGTTACCTGCTGTTGGTGAGCTTGTCGTTGTGGTCGTTGGCACCGTCTCAACTACAACTAATACCAGGAACTATATCAGTGTCAGTATATCAGCTGCAATTCATGTACTGGCACTGTCACTGTGTAATTAATATACTAATTACCTGCCAATTTGAATGACATTAAACAATTTGAGTAGGCTTTGAACGATTAAAATCCTGGAACTATTAACTGGCATGCACCTCGCCTCTTTAACAAAGTCTGTATCGATCTTCAAACCAATCATCATGCTGAGCTAACCTTATTTATATCAACATCTTGAACAAACAGCTCATACACCTATATGTAATTTGTTTAGAATCTGTTCATATCCACATGTACATCGTACCTGGAGACGTGACTCTACTCTTACAACATGTCAGCCAGAGGTCGTGGTCATGAGAACAATTTGCAATGGATGACAGTCGACATTCATTCAGAGTCCTCGCCCCTGTTAAACAAGTTACGTCACCGAGATGTATGGGTCCTAATCCTCCGCCCCTCATCGAATAGTCGCCATATCTGTATACATTGGACACAGTTGTTGTTAGTATATACACTTGAAAATACATATTTCAGTTATTAGTTGTAAGCTTATTTATTATTTGTACCTCATGATATAGTATCCATTTTAAATATCGCTTTGGTATAAATAAAAAGCCAATACGAAGCGTTGTTGAGGTAACGCAGACATCATTGTTGACGTCATATGCATAATGTCAGTTTCTCCACAGGGTTTCTCTTTACAGAAGGCACTGCTTCCTTTCTTCATCTGTCATAGATAATAATGCGATTATTACAGTGAATCACACTGCTTTTGGAAACTTACACTGGATGTTCAAATGTTATGACTCGCGTTTCGAAAATTCAGCACATACACACATATGTTTATTTTCAAGTAATGATGCCAACATATCTGACGCAACCTATATTGGCTTCTGATGCTGTACATGTAGTGTAAGAAGACATGATTCGGTGTTATATTCAGCTGAAGGGTTTTATAAGACATTGTATTTCAACATGTAGATCGACCACATTTGAACCTCTCGAAATAACGTCAGATACATGAATACATCTCTAAGTAACTGACTGACACACTCGGGACGTTACTCTGGACACAGAAGTTCGGCTTCTTTGACCACAGGGTCAGTCTTGTCCCCCTTTCAGTGATGATTCTTCACGGAGAAACTGAATGCTGGAAAGTATTGGGGCAGTCATGTAACCCTTTTCACCTAGCAGTGGTTGTAGTGTAGAAATTATGTAGAACAAATGCAATATTTCTCTCTGGCGATTTGTGGTTTGCAATTTTCAAGATCTCTCAACAGCCGCCATTGAATCTAGCGGCGTAGTTGTGCCAATGTTCCATTATAAAATATTAGCAGATATATAGTGCGACCTGTGGTGTAATGTAAAATTATCAGTGGTGAATAACTAGACTGTGTATGCACCTGGTTTAAGGGATCTGAATACATACTGATATCCCTTCATGCCACAGACAACTTCCGTTTCTGCCGAGGTCCATGTCCTCCCACAAACAGTACCGCTAGATGACGTTCCTTTCAACTGGACTGTTAGGCGACCGCTGACACACCTGTATGAAGAAGCGTATTTGAGTTGCATTTGGAAGTATATATCAATTATTGTGCATGGCTTATGCATATTCGGAATTTTTCGTCTGCACACTCCATATTTCATGAATGCAAAATATATTTTTAATCTAAGGCTGAATAAATTCAATCAACGTCACTTGCGCTGACACAAATGTCATAGTTCAGTTTTCTTTTTGTCTGGAAATTTGGACATCAAACGCAATTATGTACATTTGAATGATGCGTTTTCAAATATTGAAAATGTGACACTACTTTGCTTTGGACAACATTCAGGGTCACTGTTGAAATAACCATGTGTCAGGGGGAAAAGGTACAACTAGAGTGGACACTACGTCTCACAGTCAAGCCCTCAAGCAAATGGGTGCCTAAACTTGCAATGTCGATGTACTCCTTGTTTTTATCAAGGTTAAGGTTAAGTCCCCTTCCAATGTATATTTATTAGGTTGAGTATGTGAACATTGTTCAATCCGAGAACAACACATAAAAAGAAATTATATCTTAACTTCTTTCTTAAAGTAGCTTTGAATCTAACAATAAAGATACCGTTCGACCAATCAGAGCATTTTGGAAATATATGAGCGGGGCAGAGCTTTCCGAATCCCGCTGTGTCTCTGTAATAAACTTTGGACTTTCTATAAACTTTCTACATTATTCTTACTTTAACTTTAATGTAAGTCATTTGTATTTGTTCTTTCCTAAATCACTTTTTAACTTTGTGTGTATATAGAATGTTTATTATATGAATATGTGAATTGTCTTGTATTGCTTGTTCAACGTCAGCAGTATTTTTAGTCTTTCTCATAACTAGTGAGTAAATGTACATGTAAATGTTAAAGGGCACTCCTGTCGTGAGCAGTATTTTAAAAGCCATGTATAAGACATATTGTGATAAGCGCGGCATTCAAGACCGTAGTCATTCTAAAATAAGGCCTTATTAATATAACATTTGTTCAGATGTTTTGAACTAATTATGCATGACACTGCTTCTGTAATAATTGTTGGAACGCATAAGTTGCTCTGTCGTCGGAATCTACATTTTACATACTTCTAGTTTAAGGGCCAAAGAGCTTGAGATAATCGCAATCCCAATTGGTGAAAATAGGACGATCTTGAACTTCTCAATGCCAAGAAAAGTAGTCATCCCAACACTACTTGTCTACCTCCAAAGTCTACACCAACCAGCCCCGCTTCTGTCTACCCACCATACAGGACCTCTTCTATCCAAGTCACGCACATACATGTGCCAAAAGATAAGGTCTCAGGATATTTCACGCAACCTAGATTATATTATTTGATACAACAAAACTCCAGGTGCAGCAAGGTCCCACAAAGAGTGTTGATTGCTTTAATGAAAATTTTCAAATGAAAATAATCGAGATCCTTGATTCATGTTTAACCATTATCATTACACCGATGGGTGAGTTCCTATGACAAAGACAGAGACATAACTTCAGTTAACACCCCAAGTCAACAGCTTTGGAAACGAAGAGATGGACAGTATGCTTGTGGCTACCCTCGTAAGTCGTCTTCATCCCCACCAGAAACAGTACCAACAGCTAAACCACAGGCTTGATGAGAACTAACATTTATCATCAACAGCAGTATGCACCCGGTCAATCACAGGAAAACCGCAGAGACCACCAGCCGAGGACAAATCAACCCTCGTCATTATGGCAGTCACCATCAAGACATCCGCGGCCACATCACCGAAAATAGCGTCCAATTTGCGAATGTCCGTCTGGGTGTCCGTATAGAGCACATTGTCCTTACTGGCAACTTATCTGCAGGTGCTGTAGAAGGCGCAGTCATGTAGAACTGATCTGCACTGTTAAAAATGCCAAAATATTTTGGACGAGGCTACGGATTCTTCATAAGAGGTATGGTAATTATTCTTCTTATTAGCACTAAATAATATATATATTGTTATACCTCGATAACGAATCCTGCAATTTCATTGATTAATACATAACACATGATGAAACTATACATTTCAGTGTAGACCCCGACATAATGTGACTGACACTGACCTCGAATATTGACTCTCAGTATTGACATGTCACGTTGACTAGTCTGCTAGAAAATAAGATGGCGTCTGGTAAGAACATTTTACAGTTACTAGCTACGTTACTGTAACAAAACAGAGGACGGTTAAAATACTTCATAAATTTTAAAGTGGATTTCGGTATAACAAAACACTTGGGGTGGAAGGGATCGGGTCCTAGGGTCCTTGTTTTCGCATTTTGACCTCGTCAAGAATAATTGTTTGCATACTATTGTGAGAGATCCAACACCAGTTAAACCTGTTTAATTCAGACACCTCAAAAGTTCTCCAGATGCTTCCCTTGATAAAAATAGTATTCAGATTAATATCAATAAAACCCATACACCTGATTTGATTGGTAGGAGGGCTGATATATGGGGTTACTCAAAACATCCTCCAAAACGCAGGCTATTCTATGAACAAGTTGAAACCTTCCGTTCACAAAACAATATTGTAGGTCTTGATGGTGACACATCCAGTGCTGCTAGGCTCTATAACAATGCCTATCAAAGTATCCTACCTCACATTTGAGCACAACTTTCTTGGATTGTTTCACACCTGCACAACTAACTAATCTTATGAATAGATTTCCTTAAAACTATATTACTCATAGTTTGTTTAGGGTCCATTTAGGGTCCATTTAGAGGGTCGTATTTCAAAGTGTGTTTCTGTTGAGACATTATTGCGTTGAGACATGTTTAAAGAACAAAAGTCCATTGTCATGTGCAAATCTATTCTAACAAAAGTCATGTGACCGATAATAAGTCTGTTCACCCGTCAAAGTGAGAGTATTTGTCCAAAACTGAAACGTCAAAAAGTCACGAAAACAACTTCATTGTCCGAAAAAACTCCCAATAGAACGAATGTGATCCACGTGATGCGATAAGTGTCTGGGTGGTTGCCAAGGGAAGATTGTTCCACTTTTCAGAAAGAACATTGCCGAGTTCCTGTAGAGTTGCCTGAAGGACAGGGCATCGGGAGAGGACCTGCAGCTATATGTGCACAATCAGCAAAACAATGGCAGATCATTTCCGTTTCTTTCTGAAAATCACGTAGTAAATGCAGATTTGCAGTCAAGAAGGTAGGACACGACAAAGAATGTAACCTACCTTAGACACATTTTTAAAGGGAAGGCATTGACGTTGATCCATTGAAATTTGAAACACATAACATTGAAAACACAGCAACATATTGTTCAGTTTTTGTGGCCTTGCAGGTTACTATCACAGATTTGTCTACAAACTTGCTAAAATGCTGTTCCATTAAATATTTTATTGCAAAAGGACACAACATGTCAATGATCAACTTGGATTCCTTTGATTCCTAAAATAATGCTCTCATCTCTGCACCAATGGGATAATCCTTTCATATTAACCACTGATGAGTCTTCTGTAGCAACTGTACACATTCTTATTCAGCTATATTATACAAGAGTGAGTGAGTGAGTTAAGATTTAACGCCGCATCGGCATTATTTCAGCAGTATAGCGACGAGAACAATTCGAAATATCTGCAATTGAGTTATGAATACAAAGTTATTTTTAATAACAAATTTCTCAAACATATTTTATCATAGCAATATTATTTACAACTGTTTAAACCATGGCTACTTTGTCCATGCTCTAACAATATCCCTCAAACTAAGTTAAACAAAGTCATGCAGATGCGTCACTCGGGTGCAACGGTCCTGCCTGACCCTCGGCCGGTCTTGGACACCGCCTGTGTGTTGATGCCTTGAGATCAATCTGGTGATGTCATTCAAGGTGCCTTGCCACTGCACCGGACATCCCCCTGGCTATCGACGGCATGAGCAAGAATACGATCACGAAAGGTGCATGGTTCGCCGAGAGGGGGCCATTTCAGAAGCGACGACGGTTAGAACAAATAGGAGTGTGAGTGAGTGAAGAAGGTTTGAACTTGATTGACAATATTAAGTTGTACAATATTACATGCTCGCTTGTACCTCTCACAGCTTTCATTTTCTCGAATTGTTTGTGTAGATCGATTTTACTGTACTTTGATTTTCTGTCATAGTTTTTGCGCATGTCGAAGGTTTTGGCCGTAGTCTTGTCATTCATTAGAGATTGGGCATTCGTTCTACATGCACTAGTCACAAGGCCACTTGGTTTAGGAAAATAAGAATTGCCATAATTGTTATCGATTACTATAATAATAATTGTTTACGCTTAATCACTGTGTCTAAATTCATTATTTTCAAAGCAACACAGTCCAGTACAGATATTCAGCAGCACACGTCAACATTTCAGCCTGTTCAGACGTGTTGAGTTGTTGCACCCGCCAGTGGAAAACACCATTTCGAGTGTCATGTGTCCTGGAAGTGTTTTATTCTAAAATTCCATATATTTGTTCTGGTCAGAATCAAACTTTATTAATTAATTCCGAAATAATAACTATTTTTAGCTATCATTGTGATCTACAAGCTGGCAGGAAGTGACTATGAAAGACTGTGAAATCACGAATTTGCTACAGACGGTGTTGTAGAAACAAGTAAACAGGAACTGACATCTCGACTTAAACTCAAAATCATAAGCGCCTGATGTATGAACTGAATAGATAAGTGTCTAATGTGTGAACTGAAGTCATAAGTGCCTGATGTATGAACTGAAGTTATAAGTGTCTAATGTATGAACTGAAGTCATAAGTGCCTGATGTATGAACTGAAGTCATACATTGTGAGTGTATAATGTATGAACTGAAGTCATAAGTGTCTAATGTATGAACTGAAGTCATAAGTGTCTAATGTATGAACTGAAGTCATAAGTGCCTGATGTATGAACTGAAGTCATAAGTGCCTGATGTATGAACTGAAGTCATACATTGTAAGTGTGTCATGTATGAACTGAAGTCATGTGTTTAATGTATGAACTGAAGTCATAAGTGCCTGATGTATGAACTGAAGTCATAAGTGTCTAATGTGTGA